TTAATATTTTATTAAGAAATTAACACTTTTTTTTTAACTTCGCAGGCAAATTTGCCTGCTCTACAGTCTAAGGGATAGGAACGGGCTTCAAACATGTATTAAATTTTGGATTCATTAAATTTTAATAATTTATTGTTTGTGATAAAATCAAACGGAACCATATGATGTTACACGAAAATTAATGCAATCTTTGAGCCAATCATATTTAAGAAAGGTAATTTTTTTTTGTTATTTTCATTCTTAATTGTCACCTGATGATCACAAAAAATCCAAGAATTATTTTTCAATTTTATTTAAACGAAAAAAATGACTTCTGGTAATTGGTATCAGGAATTTCAACCAAAAGGTGTCGAACAATTAGCAGTTCATCCACAAAAATTTGATGATGTTAGAGATGTTATTAAGAATGTTTTTCAAAGAGTTGACCGAAACAAATATTTACAAGAGAAAAAATTGGTCATTCTTTCTGGTCCACCGGGAAGTGGAAAGTCGGCTACTCTTAAACTCGCTATTGATTTTATCAATCAAGAGTCTGAACTCCGTAAACAGCGTAAATTACCCACTTTGCCTCGAATATATACTAATAAATTCGATCCGTATCCTATTGGATATCAAAGTTTTTATGAACTGGACATAACGAGATTTAAAGATTGGATCAACGATAATGTTTGGTTTGCAACACGAGAAGCCTTAAAAGGGGGATATAAAGCACAAGTCCTTTTATTGGAGGAATTGCCATTTGCGCCCAATCATAAGGAACAAAAAGTTAAATTTAATCGAGAAATATCAAATTATCTAAGTAGAGAAGATGTAAGAATGCCAATAATTTGGATAGTTACAGAAACGAGCATGAACATCGAAGATTGGGATCACAAAGAATTTAAATCAGTTGACACAGTATACAATACTGTGCCGATTAATATTCTTAATGATCAAAAAGTAACACTTGTAAAGTTCAATCCAGTTGCAAAAACCTATTTAAAAAGGGGAATCAAAGCACTCTTGGAGGAGAAATTTCCAAAAGACGAAGCTATAAAAAGAGAATGTGTAATGAAAATAGCGGACATAATTGCAGAAAGTGGCGTAAAAGATATTCGTCAAGCACTGAATTATATACAAAGTGCCTATACGCTTATGGAAACAACGGAAAAGATACCTTCATTCGTTATAACTCCTTCACCTCATAGATATAACAGGGCTGGAAGGTTACTTAATGCTCCTCGCAAACCTTATTATAGAACTCCAAAGAAACAGCCTATAAGGCTTTCTAACGAAACGATGTCTGAAATAAATTCCATAATAACTGAGAATGTAAAGTTTGAGAAAAGTGTGGGCCAATTTGAATGTCTGGACCTTATATTTGGAATTGATAAGTCTAAAATAGATGACGCAAATTCAAAGCCGAGGAAGATAATTGGCGGTATGCTTATCGATTATGAGAAATTTGGGGAACTTGCCTTTTCAAATTATCTTTATCATTTTTCAAGTAAGACTGAACTCGCACTTGCATCCGAAGCATTCAGCAATTATGATATATTTCATGCTAACTACTACAATAATAAAAGGAACTCTAGTTTGATTTTAATGAATGGGCTAACAGATTCACGAATGCAAAATCCACCAAAAACAGGATTTGTCCAACATAAGGGCAATGCTTTATTCGATTTTAATCAAAGAATGCGCAAAAATAAAGATTGTCTTTGGTCAATAAAACGCGGAAAACAGCGGCTTTTCGAAGAAGATACGGTTGGCACACAAAATAAATATTTTATTATGACCAATCATAGCAAAGAAGATCTTGCGATGTTCGTGTTACCATATTTGAGACAAATGAGCAAATTTGACACATCGAATGTTTTAAAATTATCCAGGAGTGGCAAAGCATGTTTGAATGAATTTGGTAAATTCCAGGTATAATAATAATAATGACTTAATATTAATAATATTTCCATTAAAATGATCATCAAATCTTAAACGTTATAATTAATTTCTAAGTAATAATTTTTTTATTTTATTTTATTAATTGAAATTGGCATTTTTAAATTGAATAAACCAAAAAAATATTTTTTTTTTAAAAAAAAAAAAAAAAAACTAAATTAATCATGTATGGGACGGAGAAGTAAGTGAATAGGTAGGGGAAGAGACAATATGTTTAGAAGGATTGATCTTATCCAAACTTGAATTATCTGATGATTGAATATTGTAATTATTACTATTACGATTATCATCAACAATTAATGATCCATAAGGTTCGTTATTCCTGGAACTATTTCTAAAGTCATTAGATGTTTCCATATTATGACACGAATTTTCACGCTTTGAATCGTTCCCACTTTCATTCCCATCTCTCGTATAATTCCGATTATCACCAACAAATTTCTTTTTCATAGCTTCATTATCAGCTTCATAATCGCTGGGCTTTTGATCCCAATAATCATGACGACGATTCCGGTGAGAAAACGATTCATTTAATTCGCGATCATTCTTTTTATGATGTCGACTTCGACGTTGATGATGATGCTCATCACGTCGATGATGACAATTATGGTGGTGGTCATCACGTTTGTGATGACGACGATGTCGTTTGTCATATGAACGTCGAGGTGAATGAGATCGGGAATGAGATCGAGATTTTGATCTACTTCGATTTCGAGAATTTTTATTGCGCTCCAATGTTGGTTGACGCGGATGGCTCTTATTTGGACTAGATGGTCGAGATCGTTTTGGAGACTTTGTAGAACTAACGGATATCGATTCTTTTTTTACTGATTTGGATACAGAAGAATTATCAGTTGCCGTAATAGAATCTGTTAACAAAAAAAAAAACCGACATTTCAAAAGTTTTTACATAGAATAAACGAGAAATAACGCGTCTTGTTATTAGAGGTTTTTTTTTTTAAAAAAAAAAATTAAATACTTGATTGTTTCCAAGGTAGATCTTCAAAGTCTCTATCAGCATCTAAATATAATCCACCAGGATTTTTATATACGTGTAAAAAATTACACTGAATTCCTTTAGGACATTGATTTCTTTGATAATATCCTAATACGAAATTATTATAAGTGAAATGAACGTGATAGCATTGTTCATTAATCCAATATTCTATCAATTACCACATATCGCGGGTTTCCATTTGGTTACTGGGCAGTAATCGCATATCAACTGTTTTCCAGCGTACCATCTTCCCCTGATATTTTCGATCGCTAGTTCTGCCTCGACCTCACTTGAATATTGTACATACACGTTTCCACGCAGATGTTGTTGAAAATTATTACATACCTGAAATATTATACAACTAATAGTTAGACCCGCAACTATTTTTCACATCATTTATCTATCAATAAAAAGGTATTACCTTGAATTGCACGATAATTCCATAATGGTGAAATTCTGTATGTACGTCTTCGAAAAAGTCAAAATAATGCTTTTCGGCTTCAACTTCGTCATACTATAAAACAAAAAGATAATCCGAAATGTAATATAGGATTGATTCAATTTAACAATAAATTAAAATAAATTTGTCAAGGATTTCTTTTCTAATTTGTAATTAGAAGATATGTAAAAAGAAAAGATACAGCGAAGGACGATCATAAAGTCTTCAATTAAATGGAACCAGTCATCTTCCTTGTATTAATAGAAAAAAATCACTGCTAGGTTTAATTCCAAAAGCCCTTCGACGATTGGCATCGAAATACTTTTTGGGGGTGAAACATACCTCCAAATCATCATCATCATTCTCATCTGCTAATTGTACAGGCATACCCTCATACATATTTTTGATTAAAATAGTGCAACTTTTTTCAGGATAAGGATGATATCGACCACATGAATCACCGTATCGGCAAGCGCCGGTTTTAAGATAAAATGGACAATTGACTTGATCCTAATGTTATTGATAATAAACATTTTTTCAAATTAAGAATAATGTAATACGGAACTGTATTATCAACTAACCCATATTTTTTAAAAAAATCACTTGTATGAAAATGTATATATAATTTTTTTATATTAAATTTAGGATACGATACTTTCTCAGTTCCATAATCGGTTTTTTCGCTCGAATCTTCTTGAACAGATGTTACTGATGGAGATGTAATCTTCAAGAATATATCTTGTTAAGAGACGTTATTTTTTCTCATTATAAACAATATTCCAAATTTGAATTATTCAAAATACCAATTCGATTGAATCTTTATTGTTAATTTCTTCTTCGGTAGCAGGTTTGGGTATTTTTATACTTTTAACTGTCTTTTCCCAATTTTCCTACATACAAATATATATTTATTTATATATTTATTTTAATAAGAATCATGAATTCACGTTTTAGAAAATTTGTTTACCTGTATTATTTTTTTATTTCTTTCATTTTCCTCTTGCCTTTTCTTTTTTTCAGCATTAGCCTGATCGATTTGCCGTTCTCGAACTTCCCATAATATTCTTTCTGCATTTCTTTTTTTTTTTTTGTTTCCTTAAATATAATTCTAAAGACAAGTACAATAAAATTATTTCAAAATTATTTAAAGGCTTTTTATACCTTTTTCTTTCTTCATTTTTAGTTGCTTCAGTAACTCCTTCAGAATTTTCTTCTTCCTCTTGTAGTTGCCTAGCTTTTGCGGCCTCTATCCGAGCATTTTTTTTTCGCTGCTTTCTCATAAGTTTTCTAAACTCTCTACGTGGTAAATGAATCATTGTGCTTGTTTTTTCGTTTCCTTTCTGATCAGCGTTATTATTATGTAGAATCAATTTATCCCTAGTTTGATCAGAAGTTTCAGCAGTAATAGTATTGTAGCTTTCGTCAATTTCCATAGGAACTTTTTTTATATAAAGTTGTGGTTTTTTTTTAAGTTCAGGAAAAAAAGATCTCTCACAAAAAAAAAAGGATGATCCAATCATGAATAGTTGATAAGATAATTTCTATATTTGTTACACGACTCACTTTCATAAATAGTCACCGGAAACTCAGTTTAAAAAATTAATAAAAATCATGAATTCAAAATCTTTAATCAATCCCAATTACGATTTAATTCAATACAAAAAAATTAGTGAAAAATATGAGAACAATTCTTTAACATATTTGGAACAATATTATACAAAATATTTCCTTATTGATTCAAGTAAGTAAAAGTTGTTTCAATTCGATTTAAAAGATAATAACAATTTTTGTTAATACTTTATTAGATGAAAACACAACTGAAGATTTATATATTTATCAAGCTCCTAATAAGTTACTATTTTTTAAAAACATTTTACGTTGACTTTCGTTACATTTTTTTTTTTTTTTTATATCCAACAGTTTTTTCTTTCATTTTAAAGATTGTGTGTAATAGGTTTGTCACCAACGCACCCTTTATTACAATCATCTCAAAAAGTGAAATCAATAAAATTTGATGAAAAAATATCTCAATCGATTAATAAGAAAAAACAAATCCCTCTTGAAATAAAACGTGAAATTTGCGTTATTACGACAGAAGACGACAAAAAGTATAGTATTAAAGCAGGTGTTGTTGGCTGGGTAATTGATTTTAATATGAGACTTGTCAAAGAATATGATTTGTTGCAGCAGAAGGTACTAAATATGATTTCAAAATTTTTTTTTTTTTTTAAAGCAATTTGTTAACGTTGATATATATATTCTGTATGTACAGCCGTTTACGGAGGGTTATATTGCAATAATAAAACCAAAGCAGGATGACCCACGAAAAGCATTGAATCATTGTATAGTTGAAAAGAAATACAAAGATATTAGAACATTAGATTAATTTTATTTTATTATGTAAAAAAAACGATAAAATAAAAAGAACTCTTATTTAAAAGCAAACATTTATGGTTTTTTTTTATTTATTTATAGAAAAGATTTTTTTTTTAATAACGTCACGTCTAATATGTACAAGTTGTAAAAAACTAACAAGAGTACAAAGCACTAAAAAATATACAAGTTTTTGGTAAAAACCAAAAAAGTGCGAACCTAGCTAATATATAGTAGCAAAACGAATCAAGTATCTGTCACTAAAATTTTTTTTTTGTTCTTATCAAAAGAACTATGAAAGAAGAAAAATGAAAATGAAAATGAATAGTGGAATGAACGCACACTAAAGGAACTTTTTAGAAAGGACACACACACGAAGTGGTTAATTCGTGCATAAAATATTACAAACAAATGAATTCGATCGCATCAATTTTTTTTTATAGGAGCCACAGCATTAAGAACAAGTCATAATTAAGAACTAGGAAAAATACTTCAAGACGGACTTTTTTTGAATAAAGGTAAAAAAGCAAAAAAAAAATGGGATAAGACATACTGACAAAATAAGGAAAAAGAAAAGAATTGGATTTGAGAATTGCATAAAAAAATATTGGCACATGCTTTTTTTTTTTTGAATCACATGAAACCAAACTGCTGTGAATTTGGATTAGTAACGGTTGTAGCCGCCGCCACCGCCGCCGTAGCCGCCGCCTCCACGACCTCGACCACCGCGACCACCACCTCCTCCATAACTTCCACGACCACCACCGCCACCACCTCCGTAACCACCGCCGCCGCCGCCGAAGCCGCCACCTGAACGTGGAGCGGGTGAAGAGCGTTCGGAAGCACGGTCGACTATAATAAATGAAAAAATCATTTTATTAATAAAACATCTTTTTAAGAAAGTAAACCTTAGAAAGGTCAAACAAAAAGAATTTATATTCACCCTTGATAGTGCGACCATCGAATTCTTGATCATTTAAGTTTTGAATGGCAGTTTCAGCATCCTCATTACTAAACGGATAAAAAAAAATTATTAATAAACCGGAATATCACAATGAATTGTCACGGGGTAAAAATATCTTACTTTGCAAAGGTAACGAATCCGAAACCACGACTACGACCTTTTTAGGAAACCAGAGAGACAAACCAGAACAAATAACGAACATAATTATAGAGTAGCAGGGTGGATAAAAAGGGTTTTTGGAACACAATATATATTGATTATTTTTGCACACACGCACACGCGAACAACACAAAAAAAAAAAAAAAGTTTCATCCTGTTTGTGAGACAACACAGGCGAGGGAAGGGAAAATGAAGACAACAAAAAGGTTAGCATCCTTAAATTCGCTTCTGAGAAGAACCCAGACAAAACAAATGTTTTGAAAAGTCTCGCGAAATTGACAAGGTGCTCAACTATACTATTGTTCGCTTAAAAAAAAAAAAAAAGAAAAAAAAGAGAAAAACACCAATATCTCATCTTACCGGTATCACGATCACGGATGACAACAGCATCTTCAACGGTGCCATATTCTTCAAATCTGGACCTTAGAGAACGGTCATCAGTACCCCAAGACAAACCACCGACAAACAACTTGACGGACATTATTGATATTTAAAAAAAAACGAACTGTGTGGTGGTGTAATGGAGCAAAAGGAACAAGGAACTTTTATATTTTTGAGAAAAAGAACTAATTTTTTTTTTTTAAAAAAAGTTGAAAGTCTAAAGAACCGAACAAAAAGGCATAATATACCTGAAAAAAATTTGCTGAAAACAGGGATGGACCCTCTTTGCAAAGGCTTAGCTTCTTTTTTTTCCAAATTAATAATCTTGCATATTTAACAAGCTTTTGTCAATCTTATCTAGGATAGATTCTATTATATTTCGTTTACAAATCAAAATTACCCCCAACAATTGGAAGATTATGATGACAAATGAAATTATGTTTCCAGATTGTGAGACGTTGTATTATGTTTAGCTCTGCATAAACAAATGACGAGTTATAAAGAAGTGATGATCTAATTAACAGGATTCAGCCGAAAATGAGAATGATAGCCTTTGTACCTTTTTTTTTTTAATTTATCTTTGTCATTTTATATTTGTCATTGTATCAAATACATATGGGAAAATGGCTGTGTGTCACTTAATTTGTTCGGACAGTTAACTCGCTCGAGTTACGCCTGATTTTGTAAAAGAATTCTTCAATTGACAATTCATCATTTTTACAATTGTTTCTGGGTTGGACAAACACCTGAAAAGTATGCACACAATGCGAAATCATGGAGACTTTGTGGGAATTTTTTATTATTTATTATTTATTTTTTTTTATGGTTTAAAAAAAAAAAAACTGCATATGCGTCAAATAATGATTGGCTGAAATAATTACTGCGCTGCAACACGATAAAAAAAATCAGGTTGCTACATCTTATCTAATGTAAATATTAAATAAAAAAAATTTGCATCTAAATTATAATCATTTCTTTTCGAGACTATGTCGCTCTGATTCAACATAATTGTTGGGTATTTCATGATAAACGGCATTATTTACATTTTCGATTACAAAACTTTGTGGTTGAAGCACAGTGTAATCATAAAATTTGTCCGTTGATTCAGCTAATGTAGCAGACGGTAGATCATCATCCTTGATTGAAATTCTTGGTGAATGAACAAGAATTTGATGATGCGTATAATAGACACTAAATTAATAACAAAAAATTAGAATTCGATTTAAAAAAAGTGAAAAATATTTAATCCGAGTACCTACGGTATGGAACGTATGAATTCTACTATTAATTGCCCGGTTGTCAACCCAGTTACCACCACAATAAATATTTGTGAATTCATCGACATTATTAATAGCATGTAAAAAAATCTCAAGGTGGTCAACACTGCATAACTAAGAGTCCGTGTTGCAACCGTTTTAATCCTTTCTTGATTTTTATCATATCCCGAATTCTCATAATAATACGTCAAAAGTCTCTCACACCAACATAATGAAGTCACAAATAAAGTTGCTAATACAAAGGTATGAATAGATGTAACTTGGAAGCCTGAAAATAAAATTACAACCTTTGATAAATCTGTATTATATACATATTTTTGTATGTATGTATACACATTAGTACATTTTGGTATCTCAAAATCAATTTTAATGATAAAGATACCTTACCACTCGTGAAATAAAGCATGTTATGGTCGGAAATTTCGGAATCCGTCATCTTTCATTAAAGTGAAAACGCGAAGAAATTGAGATTGTTCATGAATAAATGTAGGATTTCCGCGAATTCATTTTTTATATTTTGTTCGTAGAAACTTGGGGCTTTTTATTACAAAAAAAAATTTGGATTTTCCCTAGTTTGAGGCTTATATCAAAAAATAAACCTGCTACATTATCCTCATACTATTCATAGTAAAACTACATGAGTTCGTGTTTATTTTCTCATCCTTGTTTTGGTATTACTTACGGAATAAAAATGGTCTATGTGGAACGTGCTGTTCGTCCTCATGAAAATATTTTGTCACGTGATATAAATTACAAATATTAAATGAAATATGTTAAAAAGATTAAAGTTAATTGAGATTAATAAATTATTTTTCCGGCCATCCTTTTTCGCTATTTTCTCCTTCTTCAAGCTGATCTTGTTGACTGACAACCTTTAATACAGATTTTTTGCTGGATTCTTGCATTTCTCCAGCAATTATCAATTCATCCAAAACAAAATATGCCTTTAAAAATTACAAAAATAATTTTGATAAAACGGTTAATTTTGATATAAATAAAATTACTAAAATTATATTATTTAATCTTAAACCTACCCTACCTTTTGAAAATTAAAAATCAAATCTAATTCACATACCTAATATAAAAAATGTTCATTAAGATTTGAAACATAAATTAAGAATCAAGCAAAGTACGATTCAATTCAATTCGAAATTATACATTTCCAAAATACCGATCTAGAATTTCAACATAACGATGAATAATTTCAAGTGTTATCAGCTCATTATCAGTGGCAGAAATGCCCGTGACGAAAAATAAACTTGCATATCTAATAATAATAATCATCAATTTTTTTTTTAATATTAAACTCATTTAATGAACATTATTGAAATTGTTATTTGAAAATACCTTCGATACACGACTTTTTCATCTACAAACAGAATTCATGTAATGCATTATTCCCGATTCAATTAAATAGAAAGTTTGATAACTAATTTGATTCAAATTTAATAAAAAGTCATTAATAAAATTACGATAACTAACCCTTATATTCTAAAAAGTTACACATCTTTGTACGTCTGGAAAGTACCATTTGTGTAACTTCTTTAATGATTTTTTGCTTTTCTTTTGGTGAAAGAGTGTTAAACCACTTGGCAAGACGTACTTTTCCTTGACGACTTACTAATAACACGTATTTAATCTATTAGTAAAAAAAGGGAAATTTTTCAATGATTTTGTAAATTATGCTAAAAAAAATAAAAACAACTCATGACTTACTCCCATCTTTTAGGTAATAATATTTTTTTTTTTGAAATCTATGGAATGAAGTGAGTGCGTTGCAAGAAAAGTCGAATCTAAAAGTGTCAAATGTTTGTAGGGTTACACGATCAAGTGTCACGTTCTCCAATAAGTAAGTTAATTGAAAATTGCATCAAAATAAGTTGAAATGATTTCTCAGTTTTTCATTCTATCTCCTCAACGAGGTGATGTACTTATACTTCGCGACTGTGAGTTATTTTTTTATTATTTATGCCATGATATATATATTTTTTTTTGGTCATAACTCCCCATGCGCCCCTCACTTTGTTATTAAAAAGTTCGACACGATACTCCACAAGATACTCCTGGACTTCTTCTCGATAGACTAAAAACTTGGCAAAAAGACCATGGCACCGAACAAGATCCGCCTCCAATATTTAATGTGGACGGTTTACATTTCCTTTTTGCAAATATACAAGGACTTTATTTTGTTTGTATTACAAAGTTCAACGTTTCGCCCTTTATGACCTATGAATTACTTGGACGCGTTGCAACTTTGATAAAGGACTTTTGTGGAATATTAAGCGAAGAAAGCTTACGACTAAATTCTAGTTTAGTTTACGAATTGCTTGATGAGATAATTGTAATCTTTTGACCTTTGTCGAAAATGTTAATTCTTTAGATATATCGTCATCTTACAAAAGTTATATTTTATCAGGATTATGGATACGTTCAGACAACCTCAACAGATCGATTAAAATCTTATGTATATGAAGATCCAATTCAGGTCAAACGTGAAAACATATTAATGAATTCTCTAGCAAAGGTTAATAATAAATATGACATAGTTATTTTAATATTATGATCTATATTCATTTTAAATTTTAATCTTTGATCTCTATTTCAGTTAAAAGCACCAGGGACAAGTTTGGGATCTTCAAGCAACAGACCAATTACGCATTCACGTGATGAAAAAAGTGTTAAACCAAATGATGTCTTTATTGATGTTATAGAACGACTTGTCGCTTCCTTTGCTTCCAATGTAAATTGTTCACTTATTGCCCATGTATCATCTGTGCACCATGCTAAATATTTGATTCATATAATAGGGGATGACAGTACGAGCAGAAATCGATGGTTCAATACAGGTTAAGAGTTATTTGCAAGGAAACCCCGAAATTCGATTGGGACTAAACTCCAATATCGTACTTGAAAGAGATAAAGATATGTCAAGAAGTAGGAAGAATTTTTTTTCTGAATTAATATACCTAATGCTTAATATTAATAACATTGCTGATTGAAAGTATAGGTGATAGGTATGGGATTGTGTTTGACGATTATAAGTTCCATGATTCGGTGGATCCTACAGGTTAATTTTGTTGATATCAATTAGAAAATTATTCTATCCATATCTATTTTATCTAAATTAAATGGCAATGATTTTGTCATCAAGATTTTGAAGAACATAAACGAATGATTATTTTTCCACCGGAAGGAGAGGTTACGATCATGAAGTAATGTCTTTGTAATAAGATTTATTATTATTCTTTTTTTATTACTACCTAGTTAAAACTTTGTCATCATTATTATTATCTTAGTTATCGGATATCCGGAGACGTTAGCTTACCATTTCGAGTTTTCCCATCTGTCATGCGTGTTTCAGGGTATCCAAATAGAATGGACGTCACAATTAGAATTCGAACCGATATCCCTGAAGATCGGTTCGCAAACAAATGTACACTAACTGTACCTTTGCCGAGTGTAACTCAGAGGTATTTTAAAGGGTTAGTCATTTGTTTTGAAAAAGAATTTACAATCACTTTAATTTGTTTCCTATTATAAGTATCTCTAACGAAAACATGGACGGATCGAATGATCAATCAGTCCAATATGATAATCGAATCAAAAATGTCATATGGACGATTAATAATCTACAGGGTGGCACAGAACAGTCAATAAAAATCAAGGTACATTGATATTCTTTTAATTTTACAAATCTTACGTAATAGTGGTTATATTTATTAAGTATCGACATGATATAGATTACGGGATCCGCTTCGTTTTCAACAGCTGCAGAATTTGAAGTAGGTCCTATCAGGCAAGTTATCATAACCTTAAATTCCCTCAAGATAAAATTTATAATTAATTAACCTTTCAATTGTTATTCTCTAGTCTTGAATTTGATATTCCTAATTTCACCAGTTCTAATATTCAAATTAGAAGATTAAAAGTTTATGAAAAGTACAAGTCAATGCTTCCCCAGCGTTGGGTCAGATACTTTACCATATCCGAGAGTTACATTTGTCGTGTTTGATAGGTATAATGTATAAAATAATGTGTAGATTAACGCATTACGTTTGACTTTATTTATATTTTAGAATGGAATAAAATAAAGTGTCAATTAATTAAACACATAATAATTATATAAATGATATTTTATATATTTATATATTTGTAAATTTAAAAACCAAATTTTGCTACAAACATAAATAAACAGATTACTTGTAACATTAAAATTAATGGAGAATGAACAAATGATCAGTATTAAGATTCTAAATTGATAGAAATGCCGAAACGATGTGCATTTTCATTCAAACGAGATGTGTCGATGCTACCACCAAAAGAAATTTTAACGCCAGGACGGAGAGCTTGTGTATATCCAATACCAACTCTACCATTATTATCAACTTTTCCCTGTTAATAAAAATAATCAATGAATAAGGAGTTTTTTTTCTTAAAAAGAAAAAAATACAAGTAATAAAAATAATAATACTTTGACAAAAGCATCGCGATCCAAGAAATATTTGGCGCCAAATTCTAAATTAACCTGAGCATTATTCGAGTGGCTGTCCCAATGAGCTTTAGCTCCAGCTTCAATTTCAGAGCTTACACGATGATAATATAGAAGAGTATAAGCGGACATGGAATTAGTTACGCGAAGGGCAACGTTATACTCGGGATGAGTATAACCCGCCGCGACACCATAACGAGTAAGTTTTCCATCCAAAACATCATAAAAACCCTCAGCACCAACGAGGAAACCTTCATGACCGACTACGATATCTCCTTGGAAGATAGGTCCTTTAAGAGCATCAACATAAAGTTTTGTATGAAGACCCGGCTGTTTAAAAGTGAAACCTCCCCTAACATTCCTGTTTCCAGTTGCGGGTTGAATACTAGTAAGCAAATCCAATTTAAGACCTTTTGCAAGGCTATTTTCAAGTTCGACTTGACCATTTAATTGGTTACCCGTAGTCCAACTTCCGGTGAACGTTCCACCTCTTTTTGGATAATAATATTTAGACTTAAGTTCTCCATTAATAGCACCATTCTTGGTATCTTTTTGCCCAGTAAGAGTGAAAGACTAGAAAGGAATTGAAATTGTGAAATGATCTGTTTGCTTAATTATGATATATATTTCATTAAAGTGTAAACGTTTGTTGTGACTCACCACACCATTGGGTGCAGTATTTTTAGCTTCGAGCTTAAATGCACCGACTGGGAAGTCCTTGCCAAATAGATCACTAGCAGATTTGCCAATGTCTGAGTAAGTTGCTGGAATTGGGGTAGACATTAATTATACTATAAAAATAATTTCACAATTATTATATTAAACAAGAGGGAAAAAAAAAGAATAATAATTTTTCAAACAACATAAGCATTTCAAACAAAGTCATATAAAAAATTACAATAATCCTCACAAAAATTAAAAAGCCAATAAAATGAGAAGCTATGTATGAATATCTGACGGTGATCTAAAAGCGTTGAAAGGACTCTTTCAAGGAGAGGATGCGAAAAAATTTTTGAGGGTTAAAAAAAATTTTTTTTCCGTTAAACTCATCAAATAAAAAATTATTGTGTCACAGAATCGATCTGGAAAATCTGTATCAATTTATGGCAAAAAAATCAAATTCATCTAATTTTTTTTTTTTCATGTTACAAATATGGTAAATATTTGAATTTTTATTGAATTATTATTTATTCATATCCTATACTTTAAATTTTCTTTTCTCCCTTTTTTAATCAATTTTCATATTTGCACTCTCATAAGAAATTGATTTAGAAGATCCTAATTGTAATACTTGCCAAATAACCAATATTGTCCAAGACAATATAACGATAAAAATAACAATCTAAATATATTGAATAAAAAAATAATCAGTATAATAAATGTAAACTATACAGAGAACTAAATGTAAGAATTCTTTGGCATACTTTGCTTAATTTACAACCATCTAAATACCACGGAATTGGAGTTCTATGTTCCTGAAGATTTGTAAACCTTCTTTGGGATATTATAGAATGATTTGAATTAGATTCATTCTGAATTTGTTGATATTCAGTTGTCATTTTCTTTTGGATAAATTTTATAAATTTTGCACAATAAAAAGAGAGTTCAAAATTATACTAAATTGATGACCAATGAATTTATGGAAATATATGTGGGAAATCCATGGAATTTTTTGACCTGACAAATTTTTTTTGTATGACTCCAACTGTATTAGAAAAAAATACCCGAGTTTTATATAATCTTCTAGTAGAATTTCCAATTGTTTAACATCCATATTAGTATCAATTTCTTTTGGTAGAAGAAAATTCCTAGTCGTTAGGCTAATCGAACGAAAATACCTACTATTCAATTCCTTAATATAATTAATTCTCATTATTAATTTTTTTTGAAAATTGATTTTGTAAATTATATAAACCAGAATAATAAAAATAAAAGTTTGACAAAATCAGAGCACTTTCCTTTTTGTTTTCTTGAATTTTTAAACGATTATTAAATTCTTAAAAAAATATTTTTTTTTTAAACGGTGTCACGATATTTTCCACACCCACGTGATATGCACTATTTGTCACCCGCGTTACATAAGCCTCCCTGATTTCTCTGTTTCACCCCCCTTAAAATGTCACCTGACACGTAAATTACTTTTTAAATACGTAATTAAATGATAATTCCGGCCGGAATTAAGACGTTATGAATTTCCTTTTTTAGAATATTATGTAACTTCAATGTAACTTGATTTATTGGGAAGCATAATTTCCTTTGGGTGTGTAACGTCACGTGAAAGTCGTCATAATAGTTATAATTGCATTATAGTAAATTATATAATATCAGTCATTAGACATTTCTGGAATCATACATGTAAAATGAGTTTACTAATTAAATATGCAAGTATCTACAAAATACAAGGAAGAAGATGGTTACACAACCATTCATCCAATCAAATGATATATTAGATCAGTTAATGATTTGATATGATATATAATATATAATAATAGAAAAATATGATAAGGTTAATAAGTTAATATTCTATTAGATATGTTTTTGACTTTATTTCATAAAATTCATGGTCACAATAAATAATTATCAAGGAAATAGAATAGATGATTTTTAAAAATCAATTAGAATATTTTTATAGAAAGTTAAAATAAAAAATGAGAATTAATTGATATATTAGTCTATTATTTTTATTAAAAAAAATTATTAGAGTATGATCAAAGCATTTTAAAATATATTTTATAAATTAAGTAATATAGATAATTAATAGATAAATAATAATAAATAAATAAGATAATTAATAGCATTAATAATAAAAAATGATTGAAAGATTATGTAAATAGAAAAGAATTTGTTATAATAATATTAAGCAACCTTTGATATTCAGAAATAATATTTTGATCAGTCATAAATACTGATATATCAAAATAAGTGATCTCAATATTATTCCAATTAGGATAACTGTTAAGAGTAATGTAAGCTTAACTAAATAAAAAAATATTACTATCTAAAATAAGGTAAACCTTTAGTAAAGTTAAGTCTTAGATCTTATATATAGTAAGTACAAAGAAATTTTATAAGAAAAATTGTATGTGATGATAATTAGTTTATTGATTTGAAAATAATGAGTATTTTTATAGATTTTTATATCAATTATTAAGTTACGAACAGAGAAAGTGACGTAAATAAATCATTTATAAGATTCTTATCAGTTATTACTTCAATTGTACTATTGCATATGCCTTGATTAAGGTTGCTTGTTTAAACTCATTTTGGATTTGAATAAACGTTTAAACCTTTAGTTTCGCTAAATTTTTACTAAGTGTTTGATATAGTTTCGCATTTTTATAAGCTTTAATATAGTTTTAACTTTTTCTGAATTTCGTAGATTTTTTAATAAGATTTTAATATAATTTAACCAAGTTTTACATTTACTATTTAAACATCTGTCTAAACTCTTGATTTCACCTAACAACTTTAGCCTTGATCAATAAGAAAGTTGTTGAAATATATAACATGTATACCTGGTTGAAGACAAACAGATGAAAGAAGATTTGTTTGGATTTAAACATATATTTTGAATAAGATAAATTATATAGTACATCTGGAATTTAAATGTAATATAATATTCTGTAGATTTATAATTTTTGTAATATTTCAGAGTATTAAATTATAAAACTACATGAGTTAACAAGTTCATAAGATTTATGAAACATTATGGTAAAATCCTATATAGGATTACAAATTGTATTTTTTACATAATTAAGGTTGCTAGATGAAATCAAGAGTTTAGACAGACATCTAAATGGTAAAAGTAAAACTTGGTTAAATTATATTAAAACTTTATTAAA